GCAGGGGGAGCAGGCCCCAGGGTGGGGACGGGGCGGGGCATGCGCGGGGAGGGGGGAGACTGGGGGGGTGCGGGCGGGCACCTGCGGGTGGGGGGGTGCCGCTTGGGGAGGGTGGGGCTGGGTCTTCTGCGGGCGAGGCCCCCAGGCAATTTGCATGAGATGAATGCAGTCCAAAATATAAACAAAAACAAGAGAAGAACCCCGCCCCGCCCGGCGCAGCCGGTGTCCCCGACTCCTCTCCCCTGCTGGATTTTACCCGCCCGGTGGAAAGGGTTCTCCTTCAGTCCTCCCTGGGAGAAGCGATCGCCTCCCAGTGAGAGCTTTACTCTGCTAAAACGATCTTCCCGTGGGAGTCCACCCGTTCATCCAGTTTGGGGCTGGTTTTTCTATTGGGCATTTGAGGCGCCCTTCACCCCTTTGGAAAGTTGACTCTGGGCTGGCAGATGTGCCTGACCCCCTTGGTAGCCTCGTACCTCTGGTCTCCACTTGGCTTTACATAGGGTTCTTCATTTTGAGAGTTTCTTAGCAGGTTGCTGTTGTGACTTGTAAAAGTCAACCGCCTTGGCGGAGTTTACAGATTGACATGGATTTAAGTGGATTGTTCGTCTTCGAAAATGCTGGGTTTGTTTTCTTCTGTGAAGTTGAAAGTTTTTTACATTAAATGAGAAACTAGAAAGAAGTGCTCCCCTCCAGAGAAAAAAAGATATTGACGCGGAAGGTTTTTCTTTTTATGTGTGTTCTTATTTAGGTGATTATCCAAGGGTTTCGAAGTTACAGAGATCAAACAATTGTAGATCCCTTCAGTTCAAAGCATAATGTTATTGGTAAGTGTTCATGGTTTACTGGGTCAGGTTCATGACATACGGAGATGTACATTCTGTCCATCTGTACATAAGCTTAAGGAGACAATAGTTGTCTTTGAATGTCTTTAAGTAGCTTTATATAAGTATGTATGAAATCACTTTGCACTGATGAATTGCTTATTTTGTACATTTAGGATGTCTGAGTAACTCAACCATAAGTTACTCATTTGGGGACTGGTGGCATAGCTCAGTGGGAGGAGTGCTTGCCTTGCATGTGCAAGGCCCTGGGTTAAGTCCTCTAGAAGGGAGAGAAGAGAGCTATTTATTATTTTTTTTTGGGGGGGCGGTCCGGTCGTGGGGCCTGAACTCTTCCCTCAGCTCTTCAGCTCAAGGGTAGCGCTCTACCACTTGAGCCACAGCGCCACTTCCAGCTTTTTTCTTTTTACTTATGTGGTGCTGAGGAATCGAACCCAGGGCCTCTTACATGCAAGGCAAGCGCTCTACCACTGAGCCACCTTCCCAGCCCAAGAACTATTCATTTTTATTTGAGAACTTTTTGTGTGTGTGCACACACATTAGTCTTGGACTTCAACCTTGGGCCTTATGCTGTTAGGCTTTTTAGCTCAAGGCTGACTGACACTATCATTTGAGTCACACCTCTACTTGCAGATTTTTGCTGGTTAATTGGAGATGAGGGTAGTAAGATTCTTTTGGACTTATCTCTCCTGATTGGCTTCTTGATTCTTAGATTTCAGCTTCCTGAGGTGCACCTGGCTGAGGGTATAGTTTTTTGTTGTTGTTGTTTTCCTCTCACCAGTTCTGGGGCTTGAACCCAGGGCCTGGGCACTGTCCCTCAGCTTCTTTTGCTCAAGGCTAGCCCTCTACCACTTGAGCCACAGTGCCACTTCTAGCTTTTTCTGTTTATGTGATACTAAGAAAAGGAACCAAGGGCTTCATATATGCTGGGCAAGCATTTTACCACTAAGCCACATTCCTAGCCCAAGGGTATGTTTTAATAGCTTTCAGTTTATACTGAATGCTATTTATTTTAGCATTTGAACTTGGTATGTCACATCCTTATTTAAGATCATTTTCTTTCTTTTTTTTTTTTTGGTCCGGTCGTGGGGCCTGAACTCTGGGCCTGGGCACTGTCCCTCAGCTCTTCAGCTCAAGGCTAGTGCTCTACCACTTGAGCCACAGCGCCACTTCCGGCTTTTTTCTTTTTGCTTATGTGGTGCTGAGGAATCGAACCCAGGGCCTCGAGCATGCAAGGCAAGCGCTCTACCACTGAGCCACCTTCCCAGCCCCTTAAGATCATTTTCTTTATTCACAGATTAAATTGCCAGATTTTATTTTCCTTATCAATGCCTCCCACGATGAAGCTTGGTTAGAAAAGCATAAACCTTGGAGTATATACCAGAATGTGATCTGTTTGGGCCCTGCTTTCCTAGAAAACAGAACAGGCAGGCTTAGCTGCTAATGATTTAGTGGAAGGTATAGTCTGCAGGCAAGAATGAGGGCAAAGCTGGTCACAGCTTTATGAAGAAGACCTCTGGTTTGTTGTCATGTTGGAATTTTCAGATGGACTTTCGTGCTTTAGGGCAGATAAAGGAATGGAGAGGGAATTGTCTGCTAGAACCTGTCTTCATTGGTCAGAGTTTTACTACATAGAACATTAATTTCTCCATGTTTAGGAATATATTGCTCTGGGGACTAACCCCTGAATTACTCAGTGAGTTAGGTCTTCCTCCAGGACTTCTCAGACTTGAGTGCACCCTGAGAATAGGCTGAAACACAAACATTTTAGAGGCAGCAATACCTGGATTGAGCAGGTGAATTGGTGACACATGAACAGGATACCTCAGTATCCTGCTAGTTGTATATATCTGTATTACATATTATTAAGTGAAACTTGAACCTGGGCCCTGGTGGCTCATGCCTGTAACCCTAGCATACTCAGGAGGCTGAGATCTGAGGATTTGTGCTTCCTTGCCAGCCCAGGCAGGGAATTATGAAACTCTTATCTTGAATTAACTACCAAAAAGTCAGAAGTGGAACTGTGGCTCAGGTGGTAGAGTACTAACCTTGAGCAAAAACTCAAGGACAGCACCCAGACCCTGAGTTCAAAGCTCTAGGACTGGCACCAAAAAAAAAAAAAAAAATTGATAGTATGTTGTTTTTCACTAAATAGATTTTTTTTTTTTTTTGGTTGTGGGGGCTTGAACTCTGGGCCTGGGAGCTGTCCCTCACAAGGTGAGCTCCCGACCTCTTGAGCCACAGTGCCACTTCCAATTTTCTGGTGGTTTATTGGAGATAAGAGTCTCATGGACTGCTTGCTCCAGCTGGTTTTGAACTGTGATCCTCAGCCTCCTGAGTAGGTAGGATTAAACAGTCGTGAGTCATCAGTGCCCAGAGGAATTTTTTTTGTTTTTTTACTGGGATTTGAACTTGCTTGACTGGCCTGTGCCATACTACTTAAGCCACACCTGGAGATTTTTTTTTTTTTGGATCCAGTCGTGGGGCCTGAACTCTGGGCCTGGGCGCTGTCCCTCAGCTCTTCAGCTCAAGGCTAGCGCTCTACCACTTGAGCCACAGCGCCACTTCCAGCTTTTTTCTTTTTACTTATGTGGTGCTGAGGAATCGAACCCAGGGCCTCATGCATGCAAGGCAAGCGCTCTACCACTGAGCCACCTTCCCAGCCCCCACCTGGAGACTTTTTGTTGCCTACTATTGGAAATGGAGTCTTGCAGACTTTTCTACTTGGGCTGGTTTTGAACTACAATCTTTGCAGATCTTAGCTAAGTAGATCGCCAAGATTACTTTTCTGTTTGGAAGATTGAATGAAAAGATATAGGTAAGGTGATTGCCATTAAATATTTAGCTATTATAGGCTCTTGAACTGTAAGCCCCTTTTGTTGTTAGAGCTAACAGAAATGTTTTCTGACATGCTGCTTAATATTTAAAGCCCGGGCAAAATGAATGCTACAGATACCAGGAAGGCAGTGTTACACAATTTTGCTTTTGCATTGACTGCTTTTCCAGGTATATTAGTTGATAGGATAGCCATAATAAGGTTTTGGAGGCTAGAAGTCCATGATCAAAAATACCAGCAGGACTGAGCACTGGTGAAGCTCCTTGCTGGCTAATAGTTCATGTCTTGCTAGGTGCTCATCTGGCCCATAACTTCATGACCATATTTAGCCCTGATTGTCTTCGTAAGGCCCTGACCCACCTCTCCTCTCTTTGGCCCTCTTCACCTTTCCCCCTTCTCTCTGGGGCTTGAACTTAGGGCCTGGGTGCTGTCTCTTAACAGTTTTGCTCCAAGTTGGCACTTTGCGAGAGTTACAGCTCCACTTCCTGCTTTTGGAGGTAAGAGTCTCAGAGACTTTTCTGCCCAGGCTGGCTTTGAACTGCAGTCCTCAGACTTGAGCTTCCTGAGTAGTTAAGAATTACATGTGTGAGCCACCAGTGCCTTTAGAGTAGTATAGCAATTTTAATATAGTTTCAAAGCTAGCCCTCCACTACTTGAGCCACCCCTCTACTCGTGGATCTTTTTTTTTTTTTTTTTCTGGGTAGTGGTTAATCAGAGATAAGCATCTCACTGGTTTTTCTGCCCTGGTTTGCTTTGAATCTTAATTTTCAGATCTCAGCTTCCTCAGTGTCTGGAATTAGAGTCATGAGCCACTATCCCCTGGCTTTTTTTCTTTTTAGACCAGGCTAGCCTCAAACTCAAGCTTTTTTCCTGGGATTTCAAGCATGTACCACCATGCCTAGCTCAGAATAACACTGCTTTTCTTATTTATTCACTATCCTTTAACATTTCTAAATATTGTTTTACTTTATAGGAAATTTAATTTATTTTCCATTACTTAGGAATGTTTATGATTTAAACTATTCACTTAATGATAAATTATGTTTAGCTTTTATTTAGAAATAATTTTCAGCTTTACAGCAAATGTGTCCCAATCAGAACTGCGCTAAGATACTAAACAAACTTCTTAAATCAAAAGATTTGACCCTCTCTACCATCTTTCCTCTCTTTGGGCCTCTGCCACAATGAAAGTTGAACTCTAGTTTTAGCGGGTACAAGATCCACCACAGGCATAGGAGTCACTATGCCAGGACCAATGGGAAGGTTTTCTAATTTCTTAATGCAAAATGCAAGTCAGCCTTCCTTTCCAAGAGGATTCTTCAACAGATAACTGGACTCTTGTCTACAGAAGAAAGCACAAAAAGGGATAGTTGGAAGAAATTCAAAAGAAAAGAACCCAATATGCAGTCAAATTCCAAAGGCCATCACTGGTGCCTCTCTTGATATAATGGCAAAAAGGAATCAAAAACCAGAAGTTAGCTTGAGCAAGAGCAAGCTTTCAGGGCTGCCAGGAAAGCCAAAATGGCTCAGCAAGCATCCAAGAACGCAACAATGGCTGCTGCTAAGGCTCTCACAAAGACTACACCTAAGCAAAAGATTGTGAAGCCTGTGAAAGTTTCTGTTCCCCAAGGTGGTAGAAAGCTCTAGTTTGGGAGTTCAGACTTTGAAATAAAATCTATTTAAAAAAAAAAAAAGATTTGAGCTGGGTGCTGGTAGCCTACACTGTCACACCTGTAATCCAAACTACTCAGGAGGCTGCACTTAAAAGGTGGAGGTTAGAAGCCAACGCAGGCAGAAAAGTCCACTGGGACTTCATCTCCAAAATAACCAGTAAGGCTGGGCTGAACTTGGCTCAAGTGGTAGAGTTCCAGCAGAACAAGTATTAGGTCCTGAGTTCAAGCCCCATACAAGAAAAAAAATAAGAGAATTAATATCTTTTTATTTATAAAATTTCTTATATATGAATTCTAGTGAAAAAATTCAGATTGTCTACACTTTGGCTATTCCATGAATATATGTGACATACATTTATACGTGTACACACATATACATTGTTCAACATGGGAAAATTTGAGCTTAAATTATTAAGCATATTAGAATATTAATATGAGAATTTAATGTTATATATAATTAGAGTAGAATTTTCATCCATTGTTTCTATTATAAATTATCTATGTCATGTAGTTCCTCTTGATTTTAAACTACTGGCGAAGAACAAAAAGTCAAATTGCCATTTAGAAAAATGATTTGAAGTCTACAAAAAGTACACTCATTTGGAGATTATAGATGTTTGCATTATTGGTTTCTTTTTTTTTGTTTGTATTTAACTTCAAATACCAAGGTATTTTGTTAGAGAATTGCAGTTCATGTTTATGTGTATGTTTGATAACTTTAATTGTACTGAGTTTTGTACAAAATAACTTGTTTTTTTTTGTTTTGTTTTCGTTTTTATGAAATTTTATAGTGGGCAGAAATGGATCCGGAAAAAGTAACTTCTTTTATGGTAAGTATTATTATTATTATTTTATGCTGGTCTGGGGCTTGCACTTGGCCTCAATAACTGTCCCCACTGAGGGCTAGCACCCTACTACTTGATCCATAGCTCTACTTCTGGGCTTTTTTGGTGGTTAACTGAAGATGCTCTTAGTATCACAGACTTTCCTCCCATGGCTGGCATTAAACTGCAATCCTCACATCTCAGCCTCCTGAGAAGTTAGGATTATAGGTATGAGCCACCTATATTGGGTAATACTTCTTTTTTTTACATTCTAAATATATTGAGACAGATAGCTTAAGGAAATTTTCTAAACTCGTTAGTTTTCTGAGATTATGTCTGCATAAAATCCAAGAAATACTGTATAAAGATGGAGGTGTTGCGTAATTGGGTTGTAAGACTCAAAAGAGATAGTATGAGGGCTTGTGGGGACTGAGATTGGCTGCTAGAGATTTAACTGGTAGATGATCTGATTGTATAAGTATACCGTCTGCAGTAATCCTGTCAAAATGAGTCCTTGTTTGTACTTACCTCACTGATTCCTGGTACTTCCTAATTCAGTTACTGAACCTGTTTACTTTAGTACTTCCTAATTTTTTGTTATCTGCCTCTTAGGATAAGCCTTTTTGTTTATTTTCCCATAACTCCTTTAAGCTAGCCTGGGGACAGTCTGAACCTCCCGAAATGGAGGTTGGGGAAAGATCTTCAGTTTTTCCTTGTCTGTTGGTTTACCCCTTCCTCATTCCTTGGTGGTATTGTTGCTTATTTAATATAAGCGTGGGAAATTTTTCATTGACCACCCTGGAACCAACGGCCTGGGCACTGTCCATGACTCTGACTTTTTTTTTTTTTTTTGTCGGTCATGGGCCTGAACTCTGGGCCTGGGCACTGTCCCTTAGCTCTAAAGTTCAAGGCTAGCACTTTACCAATTGAGCCACATTGCCACTTCTGGCTTTTTCTGCTTATGTGGTGCTTAGGAATTGAACCTAGGGCCTCATGCATGCAAGGCAAGCACTCTACCACTGAGCCACCTTCCCAGCCTTTTTTTTTCCTTCTCAAGGCTAGTGCTCTACCACTTAAGCTATAGCTCCACTTCCAGCTTTGTGTGTGGGTGTATGGTTTATTGGAGGACTGGGAATGTGGCAGAGTGTTAGAGAGCTTGCCTAATATGCATGAAGCCCTGGGTTTAATTCCCCAGTACCCCATTAGCAGAAAAGGGCAGAAGTGACTCTGGCACAAGTGGTAGAGTGCTAGCCTTGAACACTGATAGCTCAGGGACAGAGCCTAGGCCCTAAGTTCAAGCCCTAGGACTGGCAAGAAAAAAAAAAGTGGGCTGGGAAGGTGGCTCAGTAGTGAAGCGCTTGCCTTGCATGCATGAGGCCCTGGGTTCGATTCCTCAGCACCACATAAGCAAAAAGAAAAAAGCCGGAAGTGGCGCTGTGGCTTAAGTGGTAGAGCCCTAGCCTTAAGCTGAAGAGCTGAGGGACAGCGCCCAGGCCCAGAGTTCAGGCCCCACGACCGGACCCAAAAAATAAAAGTCTCTAGGATTTTCCTGCCCAGGCTGGTTTTGAACTGTGATCCTCAGGTCTCAGCCTTTTTACTTATATTACATGTGTAAGTCACTAATGCCTGACAGAGAATATTTCTTAAACTTGGAAGTGGTATATAAGTATCATAAACATACGTAAATATGGCCAGGCAGTGGTGGCTGACGCCTGTAACCCTAGCTACTCAGGAGGCTGAGATCTAAGGATCTCAGTTCAAAGCCAGTCTGGGCAGGAAAGTCCTTGATACTCTTATCTCCAATTAACTACCAGAAAACTGAAGTGGTGATGTGGCTCAAGTGGTGGAATGCTAGCCTTGAGCCTGAGGGACAGTGCCCAAGCCCAGAGTTCAAGCCCAGGATCAACAAAAAAAAGATCTAAAAAAAGTCTAAATACAATAGAATTGTTAATATATTTTGGAAATAGTTCGTCCTTCTGTTTTACCTTTTAAAACAACATTTTCTAAATCAGGCGTTTTTATGAAGGATTAAAAGCTTGAGATTTAAGTACTTTTGCCAGTTTGAAGATAGTGAGCTTTGAAAATTCTAAAGATAAAAATATGTTGAGGTATGATAGGGTTCTGTCAAATCCTTTGGGGAGTGAAACATTTTAATAGAATTATGCTTTCAGGAATGATCTGAACTCATAGTTGAGTAGTGCTATGAAAAGAGCCTACACAGTGAGAGGAGAGTCCTCTCTTCTGTGCACACAGGAGGCCACCTGGGTGTTCTGTGGTGGTTGCAGTTGGGTAATGACAGGAGCACAGGTTGAAGAGGAACTGTGTGTTTCTGACCCACAGGAGTAAGGACAGTTTGAGGCCTACTCTTCCCAGTTGACTATGAGAAACAGTCTCCATCCCAAGCATATACCTTAATGTGAGACAGTTCCCTTCCTCCACCATGGTCTCATACTCCCACAGGTGTTATGTCTCTTGGGAAGACCAGGATCAAGAGAGCTGAGTAGAGAGGTCCATATTGCCAGGCGCCAGTGGCTCACGCCTGTAATACTAGCTACTCACGAGCCTGAGATCTGAAGATGGTGGTTCAAAGCCAGCCTGGGCAGGAAAGTTTGTGAGATTCTTTATCTCTAATTAACCACCAGAAAGCCAGAAGTGGCATTGTGGCTCAAGTGGTACAGTGCTTGCCTTGATTTGAAGAGCGAGGGACAGGGCCCAGGCCCAGAGTTCAAGCCCCATGACCGACTTAAAAAAAAAAGAGGTCCATGGGGCTGGGAAGGTGGCTCAGTGGTAGAGCGCTTGCCTTGCATGCCTGAGGCCCTGGGTTTGATTCCTCAGCACCACATAAGCAAAAAGAAAAAAGCCGGAAGTGGTGCTGTGGCTCAAGTGGTAGAGTGCTAGCCTTGAGCTGAAGAGCTGAGGGACAGCGACCAGACCCAGAGTTCAGGCCCCATGACCAGACCCCCCCCCAAAAAAAAAAAAAAGAGGTCCATATCTTAGCCTAGTGGTCTGTGCATTTAGGTACTCTGTAGAAGATAAGAATGCCTCTTCACAGAAGGTACAAGTGGTGAAGGCAGTGCAACAGAAGGAGAATTGGAAACATTTCCCTGTATTTATTTCTTTAGCGTTGAGAAGTTATGTCACAGCTCTACACCAGCTGTGGTGTCAGAGGATTGTTTTCAGCTCTGTTAAAATCTTATGGGACCACAGTCAACTGTGTGGTGTGTCCTTGTGGAGTATAAGAGTGTAGTGTTAGCCAGTTAGTGGATACTTTATGAAGAGGTAGGTTTAAGTCTTCTTGTTGCTTCTTGTATGTTGTCTGTTTTTGTTTTGTTTTGTCTTTTTGTTTTTTGGGTCCAGTTGTGGGGCCTGAACTCTGGGCCTGGGTGCTGTCCCTCAGCTCTTCAGCTCAAGGCTAGCGCTCTACCACTTGAGCCAGAGCACCACTTCCGGCTTTTTTTCTTTTTGCTTATGTGGTGCTGAGGAATCAAACCCAGGGCCTCAGGCATGCAAGACAAGCACTCTACCACTTGATCCACCTTCCCAGCCCTTCTTGTATGTTGTCTATGAATGTATTTTGATAAAAAAACTTCTTAAAATATTTGTCATATAATTTCTTCCCCAATTTGTCTAAGTGGAAAATTGTCCTCCATTTTGTCAATAACATAATTTATAAGCAGTGTTTATTGTCTGATATACTATAGTCTGTTCTACTAAGACACGAAAATTTATGTCATGAATCCTCTCAGACTGAGCTAATAGTTACGTTCTTTTATTCTAGCCATCCAGTTTGTCCTCAGTGATGAGTTTAGTCATCTTCGTCCAGAGCAGCGACTGGCTTTGTTGCACGTGAGTGAGACATAACTGCTATATATGTTTAAAAATGCATTTTCAACTTATGTTCAAGTCTTTACACAGTCTTACCTCTTTTTTTAAATAGTTATTATAAAGGTGATGTACAGAGGGGTTACAGTTACATAAGTCAGGTAGAGAGTGAATTTCTTTTTTGGACAGTGTCACTCCTTCCTTGCTCTCTTCCAGTTTTTCCCTGCTGTCCCCACCAGTCTTATCTCTTGACAGTGTGTATACTCTGTCATGAAACTTAGCTCACCTATCAGTGCCAGAGAAAAGCCTAATTTTTGTATGATGGTTAATAGAAAGTTGCAGAATTTGCTTATAGATGGATAGGTCTTCCACACAAATTGCTTTTATTTTGAGACAAGGTCTTCTAAGCTAGCTTAGAACTCTTAACTCAGGCTGACCTTAAACTCAAGGTCCTTTTGCCTCCTTCCTACTGCTGGCTAACAGGCGTGAGCCTCCACTGTCAGCTATATCTAAACTTCAAAGGATGTAAACTGGCAAGGTTTGTTGAGGAGAAAGAAGAGTTCAGATTGTGGGTTAGGAACTTTAAGATGCTCAGCTCTAAGGGTGTAGAGAAATAACACTGCAAACAAAATAAAACCTTTATTTCTATTTAGGTTGTTTTCTGGTATGCAAACTAGTATATAGTGTATATCCTGCTGGGGATGTAGTTCAGTAGTAGAGTGCTTGCTGGCATGTGTGAGATCCAAGGTGCCATCCAGGACTAGAAACAAAACAAAAGTGTTTAACAAACTGAGTAGTTCATTAGTATAAAAAATTAGAATAGGTTATAGAAAACACTACAGCTTATTTTATGATTAAGGCCAAGTAGTGCAATACTTTAATATGTCTTACCACTGTTTCTTACAGGAAATTGTTTTAACTTATTTTTTCCTTTTTTATTTTTTTATTTTTTAAATTTATTTTATCTTACTTTTTTTGTCGGTCGTGGGGCTTGAACTCTGGCCCTGGCGCTGTCCCTCAGCTCTTCACCTCAAGGCTAGAGCTCTGCTGCTTGAGCCACAGCACCACTTCCGGCTTTTTCTATTTATGTGGTGCTGAGGAATTGAACCCAGGGCTTCTTGCATGCTAGGCAAGCACTCTACCACTAAGCCGCATTCGCAGCCCTGTGTTTGTTTTTATTGCTGTGACAGAATACATGACACAACTTAAAGGTTGAATGATTTTGTACTAGTTTCAGAAATTTCTGTCTACAGTTCCTGGCTCTCTTGCTTCTGGGTCTGTGGTGAGGCAAAACAGGATGGTAGCAGGAGCATGTGGCAGGCAGAGGCAGATAGGAAGCAGAGACGGATGAGAGAGGGCCCTCAGAGATAGGGCTGCAGCCATCCTACTTCCAGCTAGAATTGCCCAGCATAGCACCAGCGGCTGGGGATCAGACCTTCAGTACTTGAGCCTTTGGGGGACTTTTCATGGTCAAGCCATAGCAATAATCTAACGTTGACATCTCTGTTGCTCTTAGTTTTTTATTCAGAATTAAAGACATTTACTTGAGTTTTGTTTTCCTGATCTAATGTTTGATAATTTGCCAGGAGAGGGATATAGTCTAAGCTGATAAAAATTTTCTCCATTCATTAGGCTTGTGACCATGTATTAGGCTTTAAAAAAGTGTTTGATGTATGTGAAAATACAATGTAAATGACAGATTTCCCATTTTTTCTCATTTCAGGAGGGTACTGGTCCTCGTGTTATTTCTGCTTTTGTGGAAATTATTTTTGATAATTCAGACAACCGGTTGCCAGTAAGTAACTGTTATCTTTTCAGTAATAATTTTGAGAATTTTGATATAGGTAATTTAAAGAACTATATAATTTTATTGTTGTTATTAAAGTGTTGTACAGAGAAGGGTTACCGTTTCATAAGTCAGATAATGAAGGTTTTTTTTTTTTTTTTTTGCCAGTCCTGGCGCTTGAACTTAGGGCCTGGGCACTGTCCCTGAGTCTCTGCACTCAAGGCTGGTGCTCTACCACTTTGAGCCACAGTGCCACTTCTGGTTTTCTGGTGGTTAATTGGAGATAAGAGTCTCACAAACTTACCTGCCTGGCTGGTTTCGAGCCACAATCTTCAGATTTCAGCCTCCTGAGTAGCTCGGATTACAGGGGTAAGCCACAGGTGCCTGGCTTTATGAGTGCATTTCTTTTGAGACAATGTCACCCCTTCCTTCGCTTTCCTTTTGTTTTCCCCTCTTGTCCCTGCCCACAAGTTGCATAGTTCATCTTCCACATAATGTGTACTAAGAACCATGCCTGCATTTGTTCATCCTCCTCTTATTTCTGCAGCTCCCCCAAAGAACAAACAAAACTAAACAATACAAAACAGAAACACTATCATCACCACCACCAACAACAAAAATTCTACTTCTGTTTCCACTGGGTGGCTCACGGCTGGGTCATGCCTATAAACAGAGCTACTCAGGAGGATCTGAGGATAATGGTTCAAAGCCAACCTTGGCAGGGAAGTACGTGAGACTCTTATCTCCAGTAAGCCACTAGAAAACCAGAAGTGGGGTCTGGGAAGGTGGCTCAGTGGTAGAGCGCTTGCCTTGCATGCCTGAGGCCCTGGGTTCGATTCCTCAGCACCACATAAGCAAAAAGAAAAAAGCCAGAAGTGGCGCTGTGGCTCAAGTGGTAGAGCGCTAGCCTTGAGCTGAAGAGCTGAGGGACAGCACCCAGGCCCAGAGTTCAGGCCCCACGACCGGACCCAAAAAAAAAAAAGAAGAAGAAAAGAAAACTGGAAGTGGCACTGTGGCTCAAGCCGTAGAGTGCTCGCCTTGAGTTGAAGAGCACAGACAGTACCCAAGTCCAGAGTGCAAGCCCCATGACTGACAAAAAAAAATTGCATTTCTAGAATTAGTTGATGAATTTATTTTTATCAGTATCTCTCTGAGCATGGCTTACCTCACTTACCATAATTTGTTCTAGGTCCATCCATTTCTCTGCAAATGGCATAATCTTTTTCTTTTTTTTTTCTTTTTTCTGTTTTTTTTTTTTTCTGGTTATGAGGCTTGAACTCTGGGCTAGGTGCTGTCCCTCAGCTTTTCAGCTCAAAGCTAGCCTTCTATCACTTGAACCACAGCGCCACTTCTGGTTTGCTGGTCGTTTTATTGGAGATAACAATCTCACTGACTTTCCTGTCCAGGCTGGCTTTGAACCGTGTCCTTCTCAGATCTCAGCCTTCTGAGTAGCTAGGATTACAGGCATGAGCCACAGTCACTCTGGCAACATTATCTTTTTCTAATGGATGGGTAAAGTTCCATTGTGTATAAGTATCACTTTTTTGGGGGGGAGGTCCAGTTGTGGGGCCCGAACTCTAGGCCTGGACACTGTCCCTCAGTTCTTCAGCTCAAGGCTAGCGCTCTACAACTTGAGCCACAGCGCCACTTCCGGCTTTTTTCTTTGTGCTTATGTGGTGCTGAGGAATCGAACCCAGGACCTCATGCATGCAAGGCAAGTGCTCTACCACTAAGCCACCTTCCCAGCCCCAAGTATCACATATTTTTTATTTACTCTTATAAGGCACCTGGCTATTTATAATTGGGCTATTGTGAATAGTGTAGCAATGAACATGGATGTGCAATTGTCTTTACAATATCCTGACTTGTAATGTTCTGGGTACAGCTCAAGAGTGGTATACCTGGGTCATATGGAAAATCTATGTTTAGTTTTTTGAGGAACCTCCAAACTGCCATCCAGTATGGTTGTATTAGTTTACATTCCATGTAAAAGTTGTAATTAATGAGCATCCTGGTAAGTAACAAATGGGATTATATAAGCTGTCATGAGTGTTTATATATCATCTTTGTTGAGATAATTGGCATTTTAAATAGTCATGGTCAAAGACTTTACAATGAATTCTTATCTGAAAAATATTATTAAATTAACTATTAAATGAACTTTAGGCTTTCATTTTTTTTCTCAGATTGATAAAGAGGAGGTTTCACTTCGGAGAGTTATTGGTGCCAAAAAAGATCAATATTTCTTAGATAAGAAGATGGTCACGTAAGCATTTGTCTTTACATTTACACTTTTCTCATATGAGGTATATTTGCCTCTTAATCAAGAAATCAGTATATAGAATGTAAGTAAGAAGTCAGAGAGGTGTCTGATGACAAGTGGTCTTAGGACTTTTTGTTGGTTCTGGGGCTGGAACTCTGGGCTTGGGCGCTGTCCCTCAGCTCTTCAGCCAAGGCGAGAGCTCTACCACTTGAGCCACTTCTGGTTTTCTAGTGGTTTATTGGAGATAAGAGTTTCACGAACTGTGATCCTCAGATCTCAGCTTCCTGAGTGGCTAGGATTACAGGCGTGAGCCACCAGTGCCTGGCTTTTTTTTTTTTTTTTTAAACTTAGGGCCTGAGTGCTGTCCCTGAGCTCTTGCTTAAGGCTAGCTCTCTTCCACTTTGAGCCACAGCTCCACTTCCAATTTTCTGATGGTTAATTAGAGGAATGAGTCTCATGGACTTCAGATCTCAGCCTTCTGAGTAGCTAGGATTTTAAGGCGTGAGCCACCAGTGCCTAGCATGACTAGTCTTTATTTCCTAATACTGTTTAATTCAGAAGCTAGGTATTCTTCATTAGTAAGCATTTCAAATTGTTTATCTGAAGATTATTTCAATGTTTATCAACAGGAAAAATGATGTGATGAACCTCCTTGAAAGTGCTGGTTTTTCACGAAGCAATCCTTACTATATTGTTAAACAAGGAAAGGTAAAACAATTATATGTCTTTTTTTAAATAAAATTTTTTTCTAATTATATTCTTCCATTGAATTTAGTTTATTGGTTCTAATTGTTAAGCTGGAACAAAAATAAGTGATGCTTGTTAAGTTGAACGGTCCCCTTGTGTAGTACTACCAACGCATATTTAAGCATACTGCTTTTTTTTTCATTCCTTAACATGTATTGTTCAAAAAAAATAAAGGGGAGGAGGGAGTTTCAGACATCATTCAAGATAACTATTTCATGGTATAAAAAGACATATTCTCAAACTATAATAATGCATACTACTTTTTTAAAATTTTTTGTCGGTCGTGGGGCTTGAACTCTGGGCCTAGGCTTTTGTCCCTAAGCTCTTCAGCTCAAGGCGAAAGCTCTACCACTTGAGCCACTGTGCCACTTCCAGTTTTCTAGTGGTTTATTGGAGATAAGCGTCTCATGGACTTTACTGCCTGGGCTGGCTTTGAACCGTGATCCTCAAATCTCAGCCTCCTGAATAGCTAGGATTACAGGAGTGATCCTTTAGTACCTGGCTCTTGTTACTGTAACTTAAAAAATCATGTCAGTAAGGGCTATTTGTCTTAACATACTTTTTCAACAGTGGAACTTATCATTTAAATTGTACTGTGTGACTGTGAAAAAATTACTGTACTCTTGTTTATAAGATGGTATTTATTATTCATGAAAGAGACTGGCGAATGTTTTTATTTGGTAAGTTCCATTTAAATAAAAAAGAGAAATGTTGATAAATGTTATTGACTAAGTCAACCTGCTATAAAAACTTAGTATATGAACCCTATGTATTAAAAATCATTCAGGGCTTAGGGTGTAGTTCACTGGGAGAATAGGTACTTAACATGCAGTAGGCCCTGGGTTTGAGTCCCAGCACTACAAAAATAGAAAATGAAAACCCCTTTAGTGTACAGGGCATGGTGATGCATACCTGTAATCTTAGTATACAGGACATGGAGACATGAGGATCTTAAGGGTTCCAGACCAGCATGGCCCCTCTTCCTCAGAGTGGTGACCAAGTGGCTTATGCCTGCAATCCTAGGTACTCAGAAGGCCGAGATCTATGGATCAAGGTACAAAGCCAGCCTAGGCAAGAAAATTCGTGAGACTCTTACCTCCAATTAACCACCAAAAACCTACAAGTGGTGCTGTGGCTCAAGTGGCAGAGCATTATCCTTGAGCTAAAAGCTCAGGGCCAGTGCCCAGGCTCCGTGTTCAAGATCCAGGACTGATGTGTGTGCTCACACACGTACACAAAATAGGCGCTCCCCCCCCTCCCCAAATCATTTTTTAATAACAATTTCTTGATTGTACAAGAGAAGTTTTGTGCTATTTCCATACATGCATACAATGTATCCCATCACCCCCAGATAGTTAATAGTTCCAGAGCAGTTTGCAGCTATGAAATGATTATTTTTCTAAAAATTTTAGATCAACCAGATGGCAACAGCACCTGATTCTCAGAGACTTAAGCTATTAAGAGAAGTGGCTGGTACCAGAGTGTATGATGAAAGGAAAGAAGAAAGCATCTCCTTAATGAAAGAAACAGGTAAAATAATTGTGGTACTGCCCTTCTTGTTGCCAAAAAAAAAAAGATGTTCTTAGAAATATGTCATACAAGCCGGGTGCTGGTGGCTCACGCCTGTAATCCTAGCTACTCAGGAGGCTGAGATCTGAGGATCACGGTTCAAAGCCAGCCCGGGCAGGAGAGACCGTGAGACTCCTATCTCCAATAAACTACCAGAAAACCGGAAGTGGCGCTGTAGCCTAGAGCTGAAGAGCTGAGGGACAGTGCCCAGGCCCAGAGTTCAAGCCCCATGACCGACAAAAAAAAAAAAAAAAAGAAATATGTCATACAAGATTTTGTACTGAAAAGAGAGAAAATTAGTATGAGGCACTTTTAAGTTTTGAGATTTCCAGTAATTCATCTCTTTGGGGCTTTTGTAAGCCAACTGCTTTTGATTCTAGCTTACTCATCTGATTAGGACAGCAGATTTGGGTGCATTGCTCTCCCTTCCAGACTGGAGTAATAGTTGGTATTAGGTTTTAAATTGTTCAGAAACAAGAAGATGTGAAACTTTGAACTTGGGAGTCTTAGCTAGGACACTGATTATGAAAATTCTACTTTGCTTTTCAAGTGCTCTGTTGTATCATGGCTTAGATTGAAATAGTCCTAGGTTCACAAAATAATAAACCGACATCATGACTTCTTGATCTTTCTGGCCCAGAGCTTCCTGTCTGTAAAGTTAGGTTGTGTAGATTGTAACAGTGAGAAGAGAAGTGTAGTTGGTGTCAACTGTATGGTAGCTGGAGATAACGCCATCAGTAAGAGAACTGAGAATTAGTGGCACAAGTGAAGTTAGTTTTGGGGGGTTGTTTTTAATGTTGTGGGAAGGAACATTGACTTTTAAAAAGGAAGCTTAAAAGGAGGCCCTCACAGTACATGTAATAGTAGTAATCAATAATACTATGTGCAGATTAGTGCTTTGATGCTTCTCCTGAAAAAGCCTCTTAATTGCCACTGCAATATCTTAGATTTGGTTACCACATGATACCAAAGATACTGTAGTTCTTTGTGTGCCTCTGCAACTTGTTACTGGGGCTTGAACTCTGGGCCTTTGCTTGTTTGGCTTTTTTTGCTTACGGCTGACACTCTGCCATTTGAACCAAACTTTTATTTTGGCTTCTTTGGTGGTTAATTGGAGAAAAGCCTCAGATTTGTCTGTCCAAGCTGGCTTTGACCTGAATCCTCAGCTCTCAGTCTCCTGAGTATGTAGGAATACAAATGTGAGCCACTAGTGCCTGGCAATGCTATAGTTCTTAAGAGTAATTTTAATTCATGGTGTATTTGAGAAATGATCTTACATGAAAATTTTATCTAACTCCTCTAACTTTCCTGTTTGTGTTTTGTTTTTAAAGAGGGCAAGCGGGAAAAAATCAATGAGCTGTTAAAGTACATTGAAGAGAGATTACATACTTTAGAGGAAGAAAAGGAAGAACTTGCTCAGTATCAGAAATGGGATAAAATGAGACGAGCCCTGGAGTATACTATTTATAATCAGGAACTTAATGAAACCCGTGCTAAACTTGATGAGGTAAAATACTTGAAACAACCACTTAAGTCAGCATTTTACTGTGTAGCCTAGGCTGTCAAGCTGGGCTAAAACTCAAGATCCTCCTGTCTCTGCCTCCACATTGGAGTTACAGGTTGTATCACCACTCCTGGCTAAAAACTTACAAATTTATCAGTCACCAGTTTTCTTCAGAAGGAAAATGCCTACCGCCATATTGTCCTTGTTCTAGTTGTATCTGCAGTGTAGTGAGATGAAGGTAAACCAGCTGAGAGGAAAGAGGAAACTCCCTTTAAAAGCTCCCTTTATGAGTTTTCTTACAGGCATTTTAGAGTGTAAATTAACATTGCTGACATTTTGCATGAAAATTTGTTTTTAGGCATTTTTTGTTTTTTGGGTCGGTCGTGAACTGTGGGCCTGGGTGCTGTCCTTCAGCTCTTCAGCTCAAGGCCAGCACTCTACTGCTTGAGCCATAGCACCACTTCCAGTTTTCTAGTGGTTTATTGGAGATAAGAGTCTCTCGGACTTTGCTGCCCAGGCTGGCTTTGAACTGTGATCCTCAGATCTCAGCCTCTCTCTTGAGTAGCTAGGATGACAGGCATGAGCTGCCGGTGCCCGGCTGTTTAGGAATTTTTTTTTGGCAGCCCTGAGGTTTGTACTCAGGCCACATTGTGCATGCCAGGCATGTGTTTGTCACAGCTTAGATAATCCCTGAAGAATTAAAAGAAGACATCAGGGGATGTTTTTTTGGTTTTGTTTCGTTTTTTGTTTTTTTGGGGGTCTGGTCATAGGGCCTGAACTCTGGGCCTGGGCACTGTCCTTCAGCGCTTCAGCTCAAGGCTAGCGCTCTACCACTTGAGCCACAGTGCCACTTCCAGCTTTTTTCTTTTTGCTTATGTGGTGCTGAGGAATCGAACCCAGGGCCTCAGGCATGCAAGGCAAGTGCTCTACCACTGAGCCACCTTCCCAGCCCCTTTTGTTTTTTACTTTGGTTGTACCAGGGTTTTAGGCCTGGGCTGGTAATTTTCCTGGTTTCTACCTCTGGAGTAGCTAGGATTACTGGTGTGTTACACCAGGTCTGACATTGTAAAATACAGTGAATGGTTGCCATTGGTTTGCTTTAACTGTTAGAAGAAATTTTACTTACTCTATTGTTGAAAAAAAAAAAAGATTAAAAAATGAGTTTGAAGTGATAGCTTTTTTTCCCCCATCCAGCTTTCTGCTAAGCGAGAAACTAGCGGAGAAAAATCCAGACAATTAAGAGATGCCCAGCAAGATGCAAGAGATAAAATGGAGGTAAGACTGGAAATAAGGCTCAGGTTTATTTACATTTTTGACTATAGTAAATGCTTTTGTACTTGAATTATTACCACAAGAGGGAGTCAGAGATTCAGAACTGGGAAGATAAAGTCATACTAAAAGCTTAAGTGAAAGAGAAGAGAATTAATGGTATCACCCTTCTGCCAGGGGACCTCTGATTGTGTGTGACTCATTTTCTGTCTGATCCTTTGTAAATAGGACATTGAGCGCCAAGTTAGAGAATTGAAAACAAAAATTTCAGCTATGAAAGAAGAAAAGGAACAGCTCAGTGCTGAAAGACAAGAACAAATTAAGCAGAGGACTAAGTTGGAGCTTAAAGCCAAGGATTTACAAGATGAATTGGCAGGCAATAGTGAACAACGGGTAAGTTCAGATGCTAAAAATGACAGTGTTGAAGTGAGAGCTGTAGAAGAGGCCTTTCTCTGACCCTGTGCATGCTCGGGTTTCTTTATAAAAGCTTAGCCATGTTAATTTTCAGTGCAGTAGCAACTTTAACCTCCTTATTTTTGGTTTATTTTTTTGTCGGTCATGGGGCTTGAACTCAGGGCTTGGGCGCTGTCCCTGGGCTCTTCAGCTCAAAGCGAACCCTCTACTGCTTGAACTACAGTACCACATCTGGTTTTCGAATGGTTTATTGGAGATAAGAGTCTCACGGACTTTCCTGCCGGGGCTGGCTTTGAACTGCGATCCTCAGATCTCAGCCTCCTGAGTAGCTAGGATTACAGGCGTGAGCCACCAGCACCCGGTTTAACCTCCAAGAAATAGTTTTATGCTATAGTGTTGTTTTTCTAATGGGTTACTTTGAGAAAACTTTATTTTTTGCTGTGCTAGGTTCTTTTTTTTTGTTGGTTGTAGAGCCTGGGTACACTGTCCCCTTGAGCTTTTTCATTCAGGGCCAGTGCCCTACCATGTTAAGCCATACCACTTCTGAATTTTTGGTGATTAATTGGAGATCAGAGCCTTGTAGTCTTCCCTGGTTGAGCTGGCTTAGAACCGTGACCCTCAAATCTCAGCCTCCTGAGTAGCTAGGATTCCAGGCATGAGCCACCAGCACCTGGTTTGTCTGCTGGGTTCTTTTTTTTGGGGGGGGGGTCCAGTCGTGGGGCCTGAACTCTGGGCCTGGGCACTGTCCCTCAGCTCTTCAGCTCAAGGCTAGCGCTCTACCACGTGAGCTACAGCGCCACTTCCGGTTTTCTGGTGGTTTATTGGAGATAGGAGTCTCACGGTCTCTCCTGCCCGGGCTGGCTTGGAACCTCGATCCTCAGATCTCAGCCTCCTGAGTAGCTAGGATTATAGGCGTGAGCCACCAGCGCCCGGCAGTCATGTGGTTTTGTACACACTGCCTACATTACTACTACTAGAAAGCTCTTGACATTTTTTTCACATTAAATTGTAGACATAGAATCTGTATAGTTTGGGCTTACCAGTGTTCACTGATTTCAGCTCATAGGCTAGGTACTGTCCCAGAGCTGTTTTGTTCAAGGCTAGCTCTCTAGTACTTGAGCCACATCTTCACTTCAGCTTTCTGGTGGTTAATTAGAGAGATAGGAGTCTCACAGTCTTTACTGCCCAGGATCCTCAGGTATCAGCTTCTTGAGTAGGATTACAGGTGTGAGCTCCTGGCACCCAGTTTACATTGTATTTTTTCCATTGCATATTCAGTGAGTGCTTTGCTCTGAGCCACATTCCCAGCTCTTGTTATTATACCACTTTACATTTGTTTCATTCTTTGCCCATTTTTTCCCCAAAGGTTTTCCCCCCTTCACTGTTCTACAGAAATGTTATATAATCTGGACAATGATATTCATATAAGTATCTTAATTTGTATCTTTAGAATGTATAAAGTATAGTTGGAGCAGATTTGAAGGTATTTTTGTAATTACATATTAAAATGGTTTCTATGTACAGTTGATGCTGTTTGCAATTGTTATTTTCTTTCTTTCTTTCTTTTTGGGGGGCGGGGGTCCGGTCGTGGGGCCTGAACTCTGGGCCTGGGCGCTGTTCCTCAGCTCTTCAGCTCAAGGCAAGCGTTCTACCACTTGAGCCACAGCGCCACTTCCAGCTTTTTTCTTTTTGCTTATGTGGTGCTGAGGAATCGAACCCTGGGCCTCATGCGTGCAAGGCAAGCGCTCTACCACTGAGCCACCTTCCCAGCCCCGCAATTGTTATTTTCAATGCATTTTTCCCCCTCTTTACTCTAGGTTGGCTCAAGCTACCCAGGAAAGAACAGACCTTTATGCAAAGCAGGGTCGAGGAAGCCAGTTTACATCAAAAGAAGAAAGGGATAAGTGGATAAAGAAGGAGCTCAAGTCTTTAGATCAAGCTATTAATGACAAGAAGAGACAGATTGCTGCTATACATAAGGATTTGGAGGACACTGAGGCAAATAAAGAGAAAAATCTGGAGCAGTATAATGTAAGAACTTTTTTTTTTTGTCGGTCGTGGGGCTTGAAATCTGGGCTTGTGTGCTGTCCCTGTGCTCTTCAGCTCAAGGTGAGCGCTCTACCGCTTGAGCCACAGCGCTACTTCCAGTTTTCTAGTGGTTTATTGGAGATAAGAGTCTCACAGACTTTCCTGCTCGGGCTGGCTTTGAACCGCAATCCTCAGATCTCAGCCACCGGCACCTGGCTTTTTTTTTTTTTTTCTTGGTTGGTCGGGGCTTGACCTCTGGGCCTGGGCGCTGTCCTTGAGCTCTTCAACTCAAGGCGAGTGCTCTACCACTTGAGCTACAGCGCCACTTCCGGTTTTCTGGTGGTTTATTGGAGATAGGAGTCTCACGGTCTCTCCTGCCCGGGCTGGCTTTGAACTGCGATCCTCAGCTCTCAGCCTCCTGAGTAGCTAGGATTACAGGCGTGAGCCACCAGCGCCTGGCACCTCTGACTTTTTGATGGCTATTTGGAGATAAGAGTCTCATGGACATTTTTTCCGAAGCTGGCTTCAAACTTTGATCCTCAGATCTCAGCCTCTTGAATAGAGGATTACAGGCATGAGCCACTGGTGCCTGGCTGCTGTTATTATTGTTGTTACTGTTATTATTATTTACTGCTACTCCTATTATGTTATTTGCTATTGTGATACATAGTCTCATTATGTTGGCCTGGAACTCATAATCTTACCACCTCAGCCTCCTGAGTGCTGGGGCTTCAGGCTTGTACTACCGCTCGTGCTTGCCACCCGTGTTATTAACAGAATACTTTCAATTTTCAGACGCATCTTTAACATTAGCATAGTGTTAGATGTAAGTGGCTTATTTCAAGAGGATGATTTGTTTGTTGGAGAGTGTGTTAAAGTCTCTGGCTTATATTTAAATATATGGCATAATGTGCTTTGTGTTTATTTGAGGTAAGATCTTATGGAGCCCAGGCTGGCTGGCTGGGGTAGGGCTCACAATTTTGTCTCCGCTTCCCAAGAACTAGGATTACAGGCATGAGCCTCCAAGCCCAGCAGATGCACTCATTCCTTAACCAGCTGGAGTAATCTTACTATTTGTCATTGAACAATTTATAGGCCATCCTAAATGGAATAGACAGCATAAACAAAGTGCTGGACCACTTTCGTCGAAAAGGAATAAACCAGCACGTTCAGAACGGCTATCATGGCATTGTGATGAACAACTTTGAATGTGAGCCCGCCTTCTACACGTGTGTAGAGGTTACTGCTGGGAACAGGTGAGATGGGTTGCTTGATTTGATTATAGGGTTTTAAGGGGAAAGAGGGAGTAAGAATAATCTTTAAAACAAAAACGCAGCTTTTTGTAGTTGAGAACAATTTATCATCTTTAATCTTCAGTTCTACATTTAATTTTTTAATTAAGGAATTAGATACTAAGTATTACTAATTGTAGAAACTAGAATTTTACAGCTCTAAACAGAGAGATGTAATTTATTTTTTATTTTATTTTTGTCAGTCGTGGGGCTTGAACTCTTGGCCTGGGTGCTGTCCCTGAGCTCTTCAGCTTAAGTCAAGTGCTCTACCACTTGAGCCACAGCACCACTTCCAGTTTCTGGTGATTAATTGGAGATAAGAGCCTCATGGACTTTCCTTCCTAGCTGGCTTTGAACTGCAGTCCTCAGATCTCAGCCTCCAGAGTAGCTAGACTATAGGCATAAACTACTAGCACCCAGCTGATTGGGTTATTTTTTAGATGGATTCTTAATTTTGGCCCCTCTTGTTTGAACCATGATCTTGTGTATGTTTTTTGCCATAATTGGGACCAGGTGTATGCCACTGCATACAGCTATTAGTTGTAATAAGATCTTGAGAAGATTACCCGGGTTACCCTGGAACTGTTATCCTTTCAAACCCTACTTCCTTCTGATTACAGGTGTGAGTGTGTAGCCAGGATAATATATGGGACTGACTGTGCCTTGTTGCTATTGGACTTTTCTAGGGCTTTTTTTTTTTTTCATTCAAATTGGATTTTACAGGAAAAATGTGAGTTTGAAGTTTACTTACAACACTAGTGATAAAGATGTTTTCTGTTTCTGTTTATCCATAGGTTATTTTATCACATTGTTGATTCAGATGAAGTCAGTACAAAGATTTTAATGGAGTTTAATAAGATGAATCTTCCTGGAGAGGTCACTTTTCTGCCTCTTAACAAGTTAGACGTCAGGGACACTGCTTATCCTGAAACCAATGTGAGTCAGTGTGTATTAAGATCTACCTTTTTGAAATTACTTCTTGTCATAGTATTTACTTAATTCATGCTAGTGCCCAGGCATTATATATTGGGATTCACTGGCCTGTAAGGTAAACATGCTGTCTGAATGGAGTATAGCTTCGCTGGGTGGGGTTGAGAAGGGAAACAGATAATAGCCAAGACATGAAACAAATCATTGTAAATGTATAATCTTCAGGAAGACAAAGGAGGTTATAGAGTTGAGGAAGAATTTACCAAGCAACTGTTAAACTGTCGTTAAGTTTTCTTTTTTTTTTTTTTGTCGGTCGTGGGGCTTGAATGTCGTTAAGTTTTCTAGATAAGTTTTTTGTTTGTTTTTGCCAGTCTTGGGGCTTGAACTCAGGACCTGAGCACTGTCCTTGATTTTCTTTTTGCTCAAGGGAAACCTAACACTCTACCACTTGGGCCACAGTACCACTTCAGGCTTTTTCTGTTTATGTGGTGCTGAGGAATCGAACCCAGGGCTTCATGCATGCTAGGCAAGCACTCTACCACTAAGCCACATGCCCAACCCCATCTGTATACGTTTTTAAAATAGTTTATAAATTAATATGTTCAATGAAACTCCATCGTACAATTAATGTAAGCTAATGTAAAAAGAAAAATAGTAGCTAGCATGATGATAGACTGAAGTCTGGTTGCTTTTGTTACTAGCTTGTCCATTTTAAGTGGATTAAAAGTAGTCTTCAGACACCATCCTTGAGAAACTGCTTTGAGGTCTTCGACCTCAGAATGTGGGTGGCAGCAGCAACTCTATCATTCTCTAAGATGAAGACTGAAACCATCTTAGAGTAATCAACAGAAGTATAATGTCAAGAATTATTTTTTTTGGTTGGTCGTGGGGCTTAAACTCAGGGCACTATCCCTGAGCTGTTTTAGAGCTAGTACTCTACCTCTTGTGCCACAGCTCCACTTCTGGCTTTTTGATAGTTAATTTGAGATAAGAGTCACAAACTTTCCTGCCTGGGCTAGTGGCTTGGGATTACTATCCTCAGATTTCAGCCTCCTACAGTCATGAGCCATTGGAACCTGCCTCAAGAGTATTGATAAGCTGCAAAAGGGCTTTTTTTTTTTTCCTACTTTGCAATCTACAAATTACCTACATGGTGAAAGAATGAAACGACAAAAAAATGCATTTAGTGTGGTTATACTTAATATAGCAATAAAAAAAAACCCAAACCATAGAAGATAGAACTAGGAGTTTGGAGGAAGTCTAGATGATGGTCCTCTCTCTCAGGTAGCCACTGTGGGTGACCATTGTGTGACTAGAAAAGGGGCACTCAGGACTTCTAAATTGCCATCAGTGTGTTCTGTTCCTGATGCTGCGTGATGTTATATTAGTGTTCTCTTTATGATTGTTAATCTAAGCTAAACTTACATGTATAACATCTTTCTATGTAGAATATATTTGAAACTTTTTAAGTAGTTACAGAAACTTTGTCCTGGCAACTTAGGAGTTAAAATGGAGGTTTTTGTCTGAAAAAGAATTTTTCTGAATGTCGATATCCGATGTATAAAATTAAAATATTTTGAGGAAATACTATTAGTTTCACATTTATTAAGTCCTCAGTGACAGATCCTATGTTAAATGTTTGCATACATTAACCGAAAAAAAGCTATACGTAAGGGCATTTGTGTTTATTTGCATGTCAAAAAGATGCAGATCATAATTCTGCACAGTTTTTAATGAACTGTATTGGGGCTTTGTTAATGAGATCATTATTTTTAGGATGCTATTCCTATGATCAGTAAGCTGAGATACAATCCCCGATTTGACAAGGCTTTCAAACATGTGTTTGGCAAGACACTAATTTGTCGTAGCATGGAAGTTTCAACCCAACTGGCCCGCGCTTTCACTATGGACTGCATTACTTTGGAAGGTTTGTAATAATAATTCCAGCTTTGAACAAATTCTAATAAAACATTTAATGCAGTTTGTGTAATATATCACTCGAGCAGTGTACATGTCTTATAAACATAAACTATGTGTTAGGATCATAGTGTTAATAGTATATAATTGACAAATTCATGTCCATTATTTTATCAGTTTTTTTTTTTTTTTTTTGCCAGTCCTGGGCTTGAACTTAGGACCTGGGCACTGTTTGAGTCTCTTTGTGCTCAAGGCTAGTTCCCTACCACTAGATTCACAGCACCACTTCCGACCTTTTCTGAGTAGCTTATTGGAGTTAAGAGTCTCACGGATTTTCCCGTCCAGGCTGGCTTCAAATGGGATCCTCAGATCTTAGCCTCTCCTGAGTACCTAGGATATAGGTGTGAGCCACCGGCACCTGACTATCAGTTTTAAATAGTTGTATGTTTAAGTAAGATTACAAACAGATTCCATATTTGATGTTTAGTTGATATTTGGTCTTTAGCAAGTAAGCTTAATCTTTTTTGCACTTCCCTTGGCTGTTTGAAACCTGTGGATCTTTTCTCAAAGATTTTAGGATCAGCTAAGAATGTGGCTTAATGGTAGAGTGCTTGCTTAGCATGCATGAAGCCCTGGGTTTGATTCCTCAGTACCCCATAAACAGAAAAACCAGAAGTGGTATTATGGTAGAGTGTTTAGCCTTGAGCACAGAGAGGCTCAGAGACAGAGGCCAGGCGCTGAGTCTTATTAAGCCCCTGGACTGGCAAAAAAAAAAAAAAAAAAAAGAATTTAGGATTACAAAGGAACCAATTATGTTGAGTAGCTAGAATTATAGGCATGAACCACTGATGCCAAGCTCTGTGCTATTGTTTTGGATGATCAAGTTTCCCAGATTCAGTTAGCGCTAATTCTAAGCTGGATCCTGTGTATTATTGACATAGAGTGGTTTAAATTCTTTTCCTTTTAGTTTTCATAGTGTAGTTAAAGTTAGGATTCCATTATGTTGTTTTGTCATTAAGTATAAAAAATGTTGTACAGAATACTACCTTTCTGTTTTGTTCATAGGTGACCAGGTCAGTCACCGAGGGGCTTTAACTGGAGGTTATTATGACACAAGAAAGTCTCGACTTGAATTACAGAAAGATGTTAGAAAAGCAGAAGAAGAACTAGGGGAACTTGAAGCAAAACTCAATGAAAACCTGCGCAGAAATATTGAAAATATCTTTTTGTTTTGTGTTTAATTATTGTTACTGTCGGAAAAAAATAACATTTTAATTGCAATATATAATCTGTTTGATATTGTATATCTTCTCATGTCAGTAAAAGTCCATGGGCAAAAAGTCCATGTGTTTTACTTTGGCTTTTATTTAACCACAGGAGCTTGTGTTTTTGCCTATTTACCTTCTGAAGACTAAGGGAAAAAACAAAAACTACTCTTAATATTGGTATAATGGTTAAGTAGTTAATACTGATGAGTCTCATTTTGAAGGAAAAGAAGCTGAGGGACAACAATATAAGGCAGTAAGGCAGAGAGGAAACAGAATTAGTCAGTGACTTGTAGAAGGGAATCCTGGGCATTGTCCCAAGGAGGAGAAGAGTAACATGTATACCTGTCAAATACATTTGGATTAGAAAATGCTTGTTACTATCTAGAGGCCATTCAGTGCAGATTTGCCGTTAGTGGAAGAAATGGCCAGCTAATACCCAGATCTGAGTAATTGTAGTTCTTTGAGATAACAGTGTTCCCAGCCATGTGCTTATGTAATCCTGCAATTCTATCTACTTAAGGAGGCCACAATCTGAGGATTGCAGTTCAAAGATAGCCAGGGCAGAAAGATCCATGACATCACCATCTGGAAACGGAGCTGTGACTCAAGTAGGAGAGCACTACCCTTGGCCACAAAACAGCACCCAGGTCCTGAGTACCAAAAACCCGTGAAAAAGCAAAGACCCCCCAAATAGTGCTACGTGAAGAGTGGCCAGTTCACCTCACTACTGAAATAGTTGTTTGTTGCTTTTTTTTTTTTTGGTCAGTCTTGGGGCTTGAACTTAGGGCCTGGGCACTGTCCCTCAGCTCTTCAGCTCAAGGCTAGTGCTTTACCACTTGAGCCACAGTGCCACTTCTGGTTTTTTGAGTGGTTTATTGGAGATGAGAGTTTCATGGAGTTTCCTGCCCGGGCTGGCTTTGAACCACGATCGTCAGATCTCAGCCTCCTGAGTAACTAGGATTACAGGTGCAAGCCACTGGCGCCCGGGGTCCATTGCATTTTTTAAAATGACCTTGGTGCCTTGGTAGAAGGCAGAAGTACCTGCTGTGTGCTTTTTATTTTGCCACATAGTACTAACGGTGCAGGTACTTGAGCATCAGGAATAAAGTTAATTTTCACTTCTTTAAGGGCATTCATAGTGAAACTGGTGATTTTTCTTTATCTTTTTATTTGTGCCATCAGTACAAACAACAGCACATAGAAAAAAATCATAAGCTTTTACCTTGGAAGAGTCTGCATACAATGCTTGGGAGAACTGCCTAGACTTGACAGGTGTGTTAGCACAAGTATGGGCAATCGTTAAGAAAAGGAATGTTGAGAGCAGCTGCCAGCTCCTGTATTTGATCATTACACTGAATTCTTCCTCCACATGGAGCAAGAGTTACTGTTATACCTAACTCCCTAGAAGTGGCTTAAGCATAATTGATTATACAACAAATACTTTGGGATGAAAAGACATTTAAAAATATATAATACTGATAGATTTTGCTTAAGTTCCTTTAGAAACTCCTGAGGGTTTCTTCTGTTGTTGATTTTTGTTGTTTTGGGCATAAGCTATTAGTAAAGTAAGTTTGCTTGTGATTTGGAGAGTAGAATGTGGGGATTAAAATGTTATGAGCCTTTTTTTTTTCTTTTTTCAGTATTGAGGTTTGAACTCAGGGCCTTGTACTTGATAGGCAAGTGCTCTTCCACTGAACTGAATCTAAATCCCCAATCCTTTAGCTTCTAAGATTAGAAAAATTTAATGTCGGTATTTAGTTAATGATGTCATAGTCCATAAATTTGCAAAAATAACTTACTTTGTAGTAAAGTTGTAGAAAAGTAAAGCAAAGTGCTCATAAGAACTGAAGAGAACTTTGAACATAGGGTATTTCTATAACCTGGAGATAATTTTCCTTAGCTTTGTATATGAATTAATAATGAAATTGATCAGTTGATGAACCAAATGCAGCAGATTGAGACTCAACAAAGAAAATTTAAAGCATCCAGAGACAGCATATTATCAGAAATGAAAATGCTTAAAGAGAAGAGGCAGCAGTCAGAGAAAACCTTCATGCCTAAGGTCTGTATGTGTTTATTACGGATTTAAACTGTCTGAAGTTGGAGTGTGCTTTGTGATTCACTGAAGCTTATGAGTTCTGTTTTTGTTTGGGCCTGTATCTCTGTCCCCTCTATCCCATACTTACACTCCTGTCACCAGGTCTCTGCTTATTTTAGGTTGCATTCCAGCTTCTACTTTAATTGGATAAGTAGGCATTTTGGCTATAGCGTAGCAGTATTGTCTGATAATATTACAGTTATTTCAGTATTGTGTTTTGATCTGATTGTGTTAAAATGGTTACAAATAGTTTATTATTGTCGCATAAACTTGAAGCAGTTTTGGTAAAAAGCTTTATTAAATATATCAATAGTGCCGGGTGCTAGTGGCTTCCTCCTGCAATCCTAGCCACTCAGTAGGTTGAGATCTGAGCATTGCAGTTTGAAGCCAGCCTGGGTAGAAAAGTCCCTGGAGACTTTTATCTCTAATGAAGTACTCAAAAAAGCCGCAAGTGGCATCATGGCTTGAGTGGTAGAGTTCAGGCCTCAAGACCAGAAACTTCCCCCAAAACGACGACAACAAAAAAGCCTTCCTGCTTTGCCCCTGTAATATAATCTCTGCTGAACTTAAAAAAAAAAAATCAGGGGGGGAGGGGGGAGGCTGGGAAGGGATGTGAAGGGTAAACAAAGGAGGAGGCTGCAATGCTTGGTAAGAAATGTACGCATTATCCTGCCCATGTAATTGTAACTCCTCTGTACAGCATGTTCACAAATAAAATAAAACTTAAATTTAAAAAAAAAATCAATACAGATGCTCATTACTGTGGGATTATTTCCCAGTAAATCCACCATACGTTGAGAATATCACAAGTTGAAAGTACATTCAATGTATTTGCCTACTGAAAATACAGTTTTGCAACACATACTACTTAGTAGTTAACTGAGCTATGTGATTATTTAGGCTCATATATATGGCTTGTATCCAGTTTTTTTATTGTAAGCAGTATAGTGATTAAAGCCCTTATTAATAAGTGGGAAATCAACTTGTTATGCAGCAACGAAGCTTACAGAGTTTGGAGGCAAGTTTGCATGCCATGGAGTCCACTAGAGAATCACTGAAAGCGGAGCTGGGGACCGATTTGCTTTCTCAACTTAGTCTGGAAGATCAGAAAAGAGTGGATGCACTGAATGATGAGATTCGGCAACTTCAGCAGGCAAGTACACCTAAAAAGGAAAAGATGATTGGTAATTGGCTGTTGTGAAAAGTCCCTCACTTGGAATATATAAGAATCCGAAAGCTGAGTACCAGTGGCTCATGCCTAGCTACTCAGGAGGCTGAGATCTGAGGGTGGCGGTTCAGAGCCAGCCTGAGTATGAAAGTCTGTGAGACTCATCTCCAATAAACCACCAGAAAACCGGAAGTGGCACTGTGGCTCAAGTGGTAGAGTGCTATCCTTGAGCTGAGGGACAGCCCCCAGGCCTAGAATTAAAGCCCCACAACTGACAAAAAGAAAAAGAATCTGAAAAAGCAAATTGAAAAACTTAGAGACTTGAATTTTTTCTATCTGTGAGAGTAAATAAGGTTTTAGTAAGATTTTTAAAGTGTTGTGTATATTTGGATTATAAAAAAAACTTCCATCTTAATGCATGTGTATTATTAGTAAGATTGAACTTATATTTATATATATATATATATATATGCACACATACACATAGACACATAGATATGTACATGGATAAAAATGCATTTTTTTCTGACGACTAACATATTTAGTAATGCTTTGATTAATTTTTGTTGTTGTTGATAGGCTTATTGGTTTTTGAGCCAGGGTCTTCCCTAGGCTGGAAAAACTATCCTAGGCTGGTGCTTAAGATATTCAGCCTCGAGGCTGGGAAGGTGGCTCAGTGGTAGAGCGCTTGCCTTGCATGCATGAGGCCCTGGGTTCGATTCCTCAGCACCATATAAGCAGAGAGAAAAAAAAAAAGCCAGTAGTGGCGCTGTGGCTCAAGTGGTAGAGTACAAGCCTTGAGCTGAAGAGCTGAAGGACAGCGCCCAGGCCCAGAGTTCAGGCCCCACAACCGGATCCCCCCCCCCAAAAAAAAAAAGATATTCAGCCTCCCTGATGCAGACTTTAAAAAAAAATTCCTATGTGTAAGCCATTAATACTGAACCCAAAACAAGAAAAGTAGGGAAAGGAAATTCTTTTCGGCAGTAAGCCTTAGAAAAAGAACTAGGTACAAAAGTTAACTTTTTTTTTTTTTTTTACTGAGTCTTGTATATAGCCCAGACTTGGATCCTCTTTCTCAGCCTCCTGAGTGCTGGTTTTACAGATGTGCAAAACCATACCTGGCTGAAAGTCAACATTCTGCTGAATAAGGAAGAGAGAGAAAGTGAAGGAAGGGTAGCGCCTTGTGAAAGGGTAGAAAACATTTCTCTTGGGTACTGCTGGCTCACACTTGTTATCCTAGTTACTTAGGAGGCTGATAGCTGAGGATAACAATTAAGCTAACTCAGGCAGGAAAGTCTATGAGACCAATATCCACAATTAATCATCAAAAAGCTGGACATGGAGCTGTGACTAAAGGGGTAGAATGCTAGTTTTGCCAAAAAAGCTAAGGGGAAGTGCTCAGGCCTCAAGTTCAAACCCTATTGACCCTCCCTCCCCAAAGAAAATGAAATAAAACTGCCTTTCAGCTCATTAGTGTCCAGGTAATGGAAAGGACAACAGATGAACATTTCTGAGAAAGTTCATGCTTATACAGACAACTAATTTTTCTTTTCTTAATTATAGGAAAACAGACAGTTGCTAAATGAAAGAATTAAATTAGAAGGCATTATCACTCGAGTAGAGACTTATCTCAATGAGAATCTGAGAAAACGCTTGGATCAAGTAGAACAGGTATGTTCGTTTTGGGGGGTTCCTTGGTGCCTAAACCATACTAAAAGTGGTTGTATGAAGCACAGGCTCAAAGTCCAAAGCCTGAACGTTCGTGTCCTGCACAGACACAACAGCCTTTGAGGATTAAACCCCTGTTGGAATATAGCGCAGCATGATTGCAACCTCAGGAACAGTGTCTGAAATGAAACTAAAGGCCTTTGGAAGTGCCATTGATTTAACACTAGGCATACCTCTGGCAGTAATGGAAAACACACCAGCACCACTAGGGGTAGGAAGCTAGGAGTGCCGTCCCCACTACCTGGACAGGCCACACAGCTAGTCCACAGAATGAGCAGTAGCCTCTATCAGACACAGTTTGCACCACCCCAGACAAAGCAGGATGCATTCGTCCTTAAAGCCATGCGCCAGTTCTCTCCACAGCAAGGACACAGACAAAGCCCAGAAAGTGGGCAGAGATTCAAGTGAATCTGAAACACAGACCCATGACCTCTTCTGTCAGGAGAAAGCAGAAGAGATGCCACCCACTGCGCTCCCACAGCCATCAAACCACAGGCGATTGGAACTGAAGAGAAAATCTGAAAGGCTGTTGTTTGTTGCAGGGCATTGAGGGAAATAGGGAGAATAAAGTCAGATGACAGCAGCTGTGAAGGTTATATGGTTGCTGCCATTATGCTGTTGAGCTTGAGCTTGGAGAGGCACAAGGGATGTTGAAGCAGTCACACTTGACACAGCTGCTGTCCCTGTTCACTAAGGCTTTGTGGCCCTCACCTGTCATAACATTCACTTCATCTAAGGGCATGCATTGTCATCATTTGTGCATGTATTCTTTAAAGTGCATGCACTGTAGATCTAAAAATCTTTATGCGAGGAAACACCAGAGATGAAGTTTACCACAGAGGAAGGGCTTAGCCTGAACAACACAGTGTTTCCAGATAGCACATCAGATGCTTCCTTGCACTTTGGATATGGTTATGGCATTTGTAGACTTGGGGTGAACTCAAGGTAACTGGTGCTGGGTAGAGAAGCCTAATTTAATTTAGTAGGGAAGCTTTCCACTTCTCTAATCTGGTGATTGGGTTGAACACAATTAAAGTACAGTAGTAACTGAGCTCCCCTTTCTTGATGAGGGAGCTGAGGATTAACTTGTAGCACCTTTAAACATATCCACATAAGCAGCATTGGCCGCTTGCTTCTGTTTGAAATGAAGCCGTGTTTTGGTTGTGGTCCGAAGAAACTTTCGGTGCTACTTGGCATCTTCTCTAGAGCTCTGAGCATTGAAACATGACAGATGGGTAAAATACTGCGAGGTTGGATTTTGTATACCTTTCTTTAGTCATCTTTGGATCCAGTGGTTTGGGGGATTTTGTAATTATTATTTTAAATTTTTGGTTTGAGGTGTTTCCCTGACTTTGTGTTTTAGCTGAAGTTCATGAAGAGAGTACTTGAAAGTGTGCAGCTGATGAAATCCTGTCTCAGACAGCACATTTCCCTACAGAGCTGTTACACCGTCCTTTCTTGCTGAGAAAGTAGATCAAGACTTAAATACTGCCTTTTCATTGTGTCCTGTAGCTTTATATCTCACCTTTGTAAATGTAATGCCTGTACCTTCTTTATGATGAGTAGTGGTAACTGCTTTATCTGCTGATTTTAATGCTATTGCTAGAGAAGGTTTTTGTTCCAGATGGTGATAGAGAAGCTAGTTAAAAATGGTGCTGGATCCCATAGCAGTAACACTAACAGTGGCTAGTTTCTTTTCTATAATTTGGTTGGGATGACTATAGAAACTGGAAAGGCAGGTGCTGCTATTGATGTACCATATACCTCCATTATTGCTCTTTTATATAAATACACATTTATAATTTGGATCTTTGGGAACTTCAGCATTGGAAAAAAGTATCCCAGTTTACTGTGTTTGTTGGCACTATATAGAAATGAATAGTCATATTGGTCTAGAAATGTTAAAAAAAATTGATTTTTTTTTGTCTTTTTCTTTTTTGGTACTGGGGATCGAACCCAGAACGTTGCGCTTGCTAGGCAAGCGCTTTGCCACTGAGCTACATCCCAGCCCCAAAAAATTGATTTTTTAAGTGAGTACAGTAGTGACACTGTTAAATATAAAGATCTTACCTATGGGGTTTTTATTATAGAAATTAACAAAGTATTCTCTAAAGATTAAGAAAAAGTGTGTTGGGGGTTGGGAAGGTAGCTCAGTGGTAGAGCCCTTGCCTTGCGTGCCTGAGGCCCTGGGTTCATTTCCTCAGCACCACATAAGCAAAAAGAAAAAAGCCAGAAGTGGCGCTGTGGCTCCAGTGGTAGAGCGCTAGCCTAGAGCTGAAGAGCTGAGGGACAGTGCCCAGGCCCAGAGTTCAGGCCCCCACGACCTTACCCCCCCCCAAAAAAAAAGGAAAAAGAAAAAGAGTGTTTGTATGAGAGCTCTGTTTGAAAACATGGGCTTTGGGGACACTGAGACCAGCCATCTTGACTACAGGCCTGGTTGAGTGTTAGTACTGCCACCTAATGTGCAGTTTCCAGCGTGTCTGAGAATACATCTGGCCTCAGTTTGCTGTTGTGGAAAATAACACTACAGTAGTAACTGCTTTGACCCCTGTCCTGGCACAGTCTCGGTACTTAGTAGGTACTGTTAATGCTTTCTCAGGAGTAGTGAGACGAAAATTCCCAGTAATTTTGTCATTACCTCCCCCCCTTAACAGGTACTTCAATTATTTGACGGTATATGAAGTACATGTAATGTTGTTTGGGGTGTTCATACTTGACAGCAGCCGTTCTTGGCAGTCTTGATGTTTTGTAACAACACAGTTCGTGCTTTGTGGCTTAGTGTTCATGGTCCTTTTGTGTGGCAGGAACTTAATGAACTGAGGGAGACAGAGGGAGGCACAGTACTGACTGCCACCACATCTGAACTCGAAGCCATCAACAAAAGAGTAAAAGACACCATGGCACGGTCTGAAGGTACATTTCTATGTACTCATATTTTTTGATACTTGGTAAAATGGAGCTTATTTGATCTATACAGCTGTTTACTATATGATAAAATATCCAAATAGGTAAAAGCACATACTAAGATTTTTTTTGTGTTGTTCATCATAAATTACAGTGAATTGAGTTTAGTAGGGTAATCATAAATAATAGCTTTTAGTTGCTGAAATGTTTCCAACAAATTTGTATCAAATGACTATAGCATCTTTTTAACAAAGGATAAAATATCTCAGCTAGATGCTAGTGGCTCTTGTAATACTAGCTACTTAGGAAGCTGAGATCTGAGGATAGTGGTTCAACACCTGGGCAGAAAGAGACTGTCTTCTCCAGTTAACCATCACAAAAGCTAGAAGCAGAGCTGTGGCTCAGGTTGTAGAGTGACAGCCTTAAGCAAAAAAGCTAAGGGACACTGCCTAAGCCTTAATACTGTCACCAAAAAAACTTTTTTGAATTGTAATTCCTAGCATTTAGTTGTTATGAAGAAAAACTTACATTTTTTAAATCAAAACGTAAACATTAAACAACAAAAAATATTTAATGGGCAGTCAGTGTCAGGATGATAGCTCATACACACTCCAACAAATTTTGTTCAGGTTTAATTGGCTTGTGAATTTTTACAGTAAAACTTATACACTCAAAAAACCTAAACCCTTATTTTGAGAGCTATGACAAATGTTTGTTCTGTGACAAATTCTTTGTTCTGGCTGTCTTAACAGATTAATTTTGCCTCTCCTCCCCCGTCATAGATTTGGACAATTCCATTGATAAAACAGAGGCTGGAATTAAGGAGCTTCAAAAAAGTATGGAGCGCTGGAAAAATATGGAAAAAGAACACATGGATGCTATAAACCATGATACTAAAGAACTGGAAAAGATGACAAATCGGCAGGGCATGCTGTTAAAGAAAAAAGAAGAATGTATGAAGAAAATTCGAGAACTTGGATCACTTCCCCAGGAAGCTTTTGAAAAGTACCAGACACTGAGTCTCAAGCAGGTAAATCTTACTTTATTTTTATTTATTTATTTATTTTTGGGCCCGGTCGTGGGGCCTGAACTCTGGGCCTGAGCGCTGTCCCTCAGCTCTTCAGCTCAAGGCTAGCACTCTACCACTTGAGCCACAGCGCCACTTCTGGCTTTTTGCTTATGTGGTGCTGAGGAATCGAACCCAGGGCCTTGAGCATGCAAGGCAAGCGCTCTACCACTGAGCCACCTTCCCAGCCTGGGTAAATCTTACTTTAAAATTGGAAGTACCTACATGAATCTCCCAGGAGTTCACACTTTCATTTATGCTTTATTTTCTCTTTGTAGTTGTTTCGGAAACTTGAACAGTGCAACACAGAACTAAAGAAGTACAGCCATGTAAACAAAAAGGCTTTAGATCAGTTTGTAAATTTCTCTGAGCAGAAGGAAAAATTAATAAAGCGACAAGAAGAGTTGGATAGAGGGTATAAATCCATTATGGAACTGATGAATGTACTTGAACTTCGAAAATACGAAGCCATTCAGTTAACTTTTAAACAGGTATGTTTCTGTTTATAGTTAAACTAGGAAAAAGGCTCCGTGCTCACTCTGTAAGGTGGATCTAAAACATATGAACAAATCCAGCTGATAGATCCCTGACATGTTTATTAACCTAAATGTTGTACACAGTTTTGAGAAGAATTCAGTGATAGTCTTTGTTAAGGGCGGGGAAGGGCTGTGGAGCTGAAGGTGGAACCCAAGAGGCAGAGTCCTGCACCTTGCTTATCCACTCAGCTGCATCCTCGGCACTTGGCTTTTGACATAAGGTTTTGCCATGTGGCTCATGCTGGCCTTACACTTTACGTAGCTCAGACTGACCTCAAACTTTCAGTCTTTCTGTGTAAACCTCCCCACATGCTGAGATAATAAGTATGTGCCAGTGCATGTAATGGCAGTAGTGGCTGCTGCTTCTGTGTATGATTATTGTTGTTGTTATTTGGCAGTACTGGTTTGAACTCAGCTTCATGCTTGCTTAGGTAGGTGCTCTATTGCTTAAACTATGCCTCTGGCCTTTTTTTGCTCTGGTTATTTTGGGGATAGGGTGTCACTTTCTCACAGTCTGCCTGGACTTTAGTCTTCTATTTATGCTTTCTATTGTAGCTGGGATTACAGGCATGTGCCAACACATTCAGCCTCCCTGCCTACCCCCCAGTCTGTTGAAATAGGGTCTTGTGGACTTTTTCGCCTGGGCTGGCCTTCACGTTTTTCCTAACCTTACCCTCCTTATAGCTAGGATAACAGGCATGAATAATTGTGTCCAGGAGTTATTCTTGTTCAGAACATTAAAACATACTTGTGGTGTTGGGGATTTAGCCAGTGGAAGAGTAGGGCTTGAGTTCAGTCCTCAGCTGTAAAACAACAACGACAAAATACAAAAACAAAAAGTACACACACAAATATACTTGGGATTGCTTTAAAATGTATCCTGTGTCAAGCAGTAATACATGTAACTCCAGCTAAGCAAAATTTGTATTTGAATTGATGCTTTTCTTGAAGGTATCAAAGAACTTCAGTGAGGTATTCCAGAAGCTTGTTCCTGGTGGCAAAGCTACTTTGGTGATGAAGAAAGGCGATGTGGAGGGCAGCCAGTCCCAGGACGAAGGAGAAGGGAGCGGGGAAAGCGAGAGGGGCTCCGGATCGCAGAGCAGTGTCCCGTCAGTCGACCAGTTCACTGGAGTTGGCATTAGGGTAAAGAAGCATCACTTCTTTCCTCCTCACCGCATTGCCGTAGTACAGTTGGTAAATGCATGTGCAATTCTGAGTTGCTACACTGTCTGTGCAGAGCAATTTTTTTTTTTTTGTCGATCATGGGGCTTGAACTCTGGGCCTGGGCGCTGTCCTTCAGCTCTTCAGCTCAAGGCGAGCGCTCTCCCACTTGAGCTACAGCGCCACTTCCGGTTTTCTGGTGGTTTATTGGAGATAGGAGTCTCACGGTCTCTCCTGCCCGGGCTGGCTTTGAACCGCGATCCTCAGATCTCAACCTCCTGAGTAGCTAGGATTACAGGCGTGAGCCACCAGCGCCCAGCTGTGCAGAGCAATTTAAAAAGTGATGGTGGAAGGACTGAGTCTACTCTAAGTATACTCAAAGTCCAGTCATAGTAATCCCCGTACAACTGATACGGGCTGATAAAAATCTAAGAAAAGAGATGATGCCCGTTCTGATACTACCGTATCGATGTGTTGTCTTAGGTGTCTTTCACAGGAAAACAAGGAGAAATGAGGGAGATGCAGCAGCTTTCCGGGGGGCAGAAATCTTTGGTAGCTCTTGCTCTGATTTTTGCCATTCAGAAGTGTGACCCAGCTCCTTTTTACTTGTTTGATGAGATCGACCAGGCTCTGGACGCGCAGCACAGGAAGGCCGTATCAGGTACAGCTTCGTTTTGTTTTCTAGCCCTTCAAGGTGATAGCTTCCCTATGTTGTAGTGGAGGGACTAGACAGGACAGAGGCAAGTCTATCATACATGCAAAGAACTAATCCCTCTTTCGGTTTGTAAGGTTAGAATTAGATTAGTCTTTTTGTTTTATTGTTTTTGGCTCTACTTAGGTTTGAACTCAAAGCTTTGTGTTTATAAAGATGTTGCTCTACCACTTGAACCATGACCCTACCCTTGTTTTTTGCTGATTACTTTAGAGATAGGGTCTAGTGAGCTTTTCTGTTGAGGTTAACCTTGAACCACCATCCTCCAGACCTCTGCCTTTTCACTTCCTAAGCAGTTAGGATTATAGGCTGACTATCAATGCCTGCTAGATTGTTTAAATGCAGAATTAACATGCTTGTTAAAATGTGTATGTGTATGTGTGTGTAAACTTTGCTGTGACATTTTTAATACTATATTAAAAATTTCTATATATTAAAAGCTATTCTGTAGCTTTAAGATTGAGGTTAAAAGATTTGTTTTTTAAAAAGTCAGGTTGGTAATTTTTATACATATGTAATTATACAGATATATGTTCAATAGTGCTTTTAATGTTTTAAACTCTAGGTAAGAGGAAAAACTGATTTTTTTCCAATCTAAATGACTATTTTTCACAGATATGATTATGGAACTTGCTGTACATGCTCAATTCATTACAACTACTTTTCGGCCTGAGCTACTTGAGTCGGCTGACAAATTCTATGGTGTAAAATTCAGAAACAAGGTAATTTTATTTTACTTGGAGTTTGTTTGCTAGGATTGAAGTCATTGAGTTTTTTAAATTTTTTTTATGCTACCTAAATAGTGAAAGAAGACTTGGAAAGTCACTGCTTATCTGACATCTTTCTAAAGGAGAAACTTTTTTTTAGTACCTATGGTGGCTTAGCAATTGTTTTTTTGTTTTTGTTTTTGCCAGTCATGGGGCCTGAGCTCCGGGCCCAGGCACTGTCCCTCAGCTCTTCAGCTCAAGGCTAGCACTCTACCCCTTGAGCCGCAGCGCCACTTCTGGCTTTTTCTGCTTATGTGGTGCTGAGGAATTGAACCCAGGGCCTCAAGCATGCAAGGCAAGCACTCTACCACTGAGCCACCTTCCCAGCCCAGCAATTGTTTTTATAACATCTTGATTTTCTTTATCTTTCTGTCTATTCAATGCTTTTGTTGTTGTTCCAGTCCTGGGGCTTGAACGTGGCCTGGGTGGTATCCCTGATTTCTTTAGCTCTACCACTTTAACCACAGCTCTCCTTTTGGCTTTTTTTTGTGCTTAACTACAGAGAAGAATCTCATGGTGGCTCACACCTGTAATCCTGGCTACTCAGGAGGCTGAGATTTGAGGATTACAGTTCAAAGCCAGCCTGGGCTAGAAAGTCTGTGAGACTTTTTTTTTTTTGGGGGGGGTCCGGTCGTGGGGCCTGAACTCTGGGCCTGGGCGCTGTCCCTCAGCTCTTCAGCTCAAGGCTAGCGCTCTACCACTTGAGCCACAG